AATTAGAATAACCAGCGATCAAAAGATACTGAATAAATGTCATTATAAGTTCCAGAACGTATTCTCTTCACAGCTTTTTATTTGCCAGAGCCACTGTTCATAACTCCTGTATACAGTGTGCAGTTTTATTGAGGAAGTAAAAACATAAAATCCAAATTTTAACAAGGCAGAATCAGTAAATGCAGGTCTACTAACTGCTTTACGAGTCACTATAAAGCTTTTTTTAGCAGCTTAGTGAAAACATTGCAGTGCTGATGTATGTATATATTCATGTATGTACACAAATACATGCGGATTTTCTCTTCCCTCCTTCAGATCCAGTCTGTGGTGGAACTTCTAAAGAACAGAGTGATCACTACTGCCAGCAACATACTGCAGAAGAAAAAGTTGGAGGAGAAGAAGGTTAAAAAGCCCATTGAGGAATGGGCAGAAATGGCTTCTGCTCTGGCCGGAAATCTTGAAGAAACCATTTCTTCAGCTTTCTGTCAGGTATTGAAAAAAACAAATATAGACAAGTCAAGTTAGGTTAGGTCATTATTTTTGTTTCTGATGTTTGTTCAAGTGCAGTATTGGAGTAGAGTTACAACACTAGGGGTGCCAGTCACAAAGTTTCAAAATTAGTGTTGACCCATTCTGTTTCATAAAAACCCCTTTCACACATGCACTATGTTCCGTCAATCTGAACGGGTCGGCTGCATGTGTGATTGTGTACCCTGGTTGCCTATCTATAAAACTCTCACCACCAATTTTGCTAGGTTGGACCTGGTAACATTTCTGTAACTTTAAACATGGCACAGGTGTGAACTGAGCCTTCACACTGATGGATAGATGCGCACAAGCAGCTACTTTAGAATGTATGAAATGATTTTCTTTGCTTTTAAAAGTTACCTCTGTTGGATAAAATCATTTGAGTCAAAGCAGTGATTTATTTGCGGAGTCACTGGCACAACCATGAATGTTTCACCTCTTTTCTCCCATAATATTGTTCGTCTCATGTTTTTCAGATGCTGATAGTGTCATCCACAGAGCCTCGCACTCTGAGGAACTGTGACCCTCCTCAGGTCCACAGACCACCCTCAGATTCCAAACCCATCGGTCGCACTGTCCCTTTGAGACCAATGCCTCGTCAGCCATTCAAAGGTATGGACGTGTTTCTCTAAAAATTGGAATCTGGTGGACTAGAGGTCATTTTCTTCAAATTCTTTCAATAAAAAGTAGAACAAACATAAAACAGCAGTACAGACTTCTCAGATTATAGGCTAGCTATCAATCTTTCTGCCCCAAAGAAGAGCCACTGTGTCGACCCGTATGCCTTTCATCGAAATAACATAGCAAACATTAGTGATACACAGCGAGACAGGAGAAAATGGTATAAAGGGTAAGTACCGTGAACATGTCGCAGGAGCTTCAAAATAAATCGTTGTTAAGTTGTATTTTATGAGATGCCTAAAAAGTGATTAGAGGAAATATAAAACATCATGGGTTTTTATTGCATCGTAAAAGTTCCGTTTAAATCACACCATAGGCAAGTTCATCTGTGGCGTTCCAATGGTCCCTACTAAAGGATGTGTGAGAAAATAATACACTCATGCAGTACGATTAAAATCACAAATGTTGCTGGAGCTGGCAGTTAAACCAAAAGATTGGAACTTTTTCTTCTGACAGTGAGAGTCTTTTCACAAACTCTACTGATGCTTCCTGGGTTTTTGCTACTTGTTGCTGTTGTCACTACTTAACACTGCTGGTTGAAATCAAACTTCGCTACTGGTGCACCAGTGCAGGAAGGAGATTTAGAACTGTGGTATGCTGCAAGATAGAGAGAAATTTACCTGGCGCTGATGGGCTTAATCAGTATTGTGTGACTTTAACCTCATTTGCCTTAAATGTAAATACTGATCATTTTTATGTAAAAATCACAAACTCCGTCTGTAAACCTCAAACATCATTTGGAGTAGGTGAGTTGCTGTTCTGGAACGGGTCTTACTTCTTACTTACATCTGCAGATTGTTTTACGTTAAATTCTAGTGGCTTAGAATTTATCATAAAACTCAAAATGAACTACTAAATCAAATCAAATCAAGTTTATTGTCATTTTGCTGTACATACACAGCAGTACAGGCAAAATGAGAGAGCGTTCTTCAGGATTATTCAACCAGCAAGTTTTGCGGAATGCACATCTGGGATAGGACACTAAATGTTCACTGTCACTGTCTCCTGAAGGGGCCGCTGCAAAATTGCATCTTTTGTTTTTAGCAACCCAAGCAAAGGACCATGAGCTACACAATATGTTTTAACTTTTTACTGTAAGAGACTTTGAGAAGCAGATTAAATGAACCAAAGCAGAATTCGGTATTAATTAACACATTACCCTAGCTCTATGATTCAGTGTGAAAATAAACAATGGACATTACATTTAAGTGTTTCAGTTTCAGGTTTATTTAAGTACAACAACAAAATATAAAGGACTGTGTTGAGAAAAACCATCAGTCCGGTCAGTTTCTGTCCATTAATTGTTTGAACTCTTAACAAGAAGTAATTGGTTAATTCATCCATTTTGTGTTGCTGTTTAGAGTCATTGTCATTTGTAGTTATTGTTACACCTAGAAATGTTGCTTTTATATCATCCCTCCATTGTGCTTTTTCTATATATCTTCACTGTGTATAGAGAAGATCTGTGTTATGATCTTCTTGTTTACATGGATGGATTGTAAGGCAATTGGTCCTAAATCTCTTTTGTGTCTCTTTGTGAACCAGTCCCCCACCCACCCCCCTCAGGTGAGCATCCTGCCTCCAACACGTCCCGTCCACTCGGCCTGTTGAAGACTCCAGCGCCAAGCATGGGCCCAGCTAGAAGACTCCAAACAAAATCCCAAGTTGTTAGAGTGCCAAATGGCAAGCAACAGCAACAGCCTTCTCCCAAAGCTGGAAATCCACCTGCTGCCGCCTCTACCTCTCAGTCTCAGCCTGCAGAGCAATGTACCACTACCTCCCGCCCCTCTACGTCTTCCAGTTCTCCCACACCCCTCTCTTCCCCAGCCAATAACTGCACCCGAGTTCTCAGTACTGCATCATCTGCTGTCACCCAAACACCCCCACTCTCCACCGCTGCCTCTGTGTTACACAGCAAGTTCGGTCGAACTAGCAAATTCGCCACAAAAGACAGTCCCAGGACATTGGGTGTCAAGTGCGTAGTGGACTTTGAGAGGATATACCGCTTCCTGAGTGTCGTCGACAAACCCGAAGAGGAATGTCAACTCACCCCCATGGGTGAGTGAGAGATTGATAGTCAACATTCAACACCCCAGGAGTAGCACATTGACAGCAAGTTCACACACATCAAATAAAATCATATTTAAAGTGCAACCCTGACAAACATCTCTTCCCTGGATGAGGAATTTAGTTTGTGTTAGAAAGCACAATGCTGGATTTTGGCCAACATGTGATATGCCAATATTTTCCTACTTATTTTGTCTGGCTGGGCCAAAAAACTAAACAAAAAACAGGTAGACTGTAAACACAACCTGCTGCACAACATGTATTGTACAATACAATACAACTGCTGTTCAGTACTCTTTAATACTGACAAAAGGCAAGCGGAAATACCCCAGGAATCAGATTTTAAATTACTTTTTACAACCCAAGCCTTAACCTAATAGTTATTTTGACTCAGTCCCTTCTCCCTTGATGTCAGTGTCCCCAAATAACAGCAATAGAGTTGCGCCTTACAGAAAAAAAGTAGCATTCAACAGTAATTTGACTGCTTACACCACTTTACAGACACTGTGTTAAATATATCTGAATATATCTGTATACATATTGACTAAAATGTCTTTATTGGACTGAAATATTGTGCCACCCAACTATATTTGTTACTGTCCATATTTTTTTTGTATAAGCAGCTTTGCCAGGCATTGCCTTTTATTTCTATATTCTGTCCCCTAATTCTGTCTTTTGTCATCCAGAGAGTGCTATCGTGTTAGACCTGTTGATGTGTCTCCCAGAACAACTTCCCCAGCTGAACTGCAACAAACTGCGCAAGCACATGATCGAGGTACAATCTGCATGATGAGATTCATTTTGTCTACTCTGATTTTAGGTATAAGGTTTCTTTTTTTGTCAGACAATGAGTGTTTTTTCGCTAGGAGCTGTTTTTACCTTTGACATGTTTCGACTGTCGCTGTCACTGTCGCTGATGGTTTCCTGGAGGTGTGGCCCGCCTGGCAATCTGTCAGATTTGCCCAACGGGCCGCGCCTCCTGCCGCCTGGTGGTCTCTGCAGGAGAGCGTCCCATGTATGTGACAGCATGAATGCCCCCTCATCATGGTTCATGGTGTCTTTGGCTCGCCTCCTGATTTCTATGGCCTCCTTGATCCAGCATTTAATTTGTTGTTCTCCAATCCGATGATCTTTGCGTTGTCCCCGTCCATGATATGGTTGTTTCTTTTGCACTGGTCTGATATGGATGATGTTAGGTTCACCTGTTCTGCTTTTTCTTGTTGTGATCTTATGAGTCGTCCTGATGTTTCAGGACAACTGAGGTGAAATCTGCTGCACACAAGTCAGACAGAGATTTCACTCAGACACTCTTGTCGGCCAGTGTTGAGTTGTGCTCATTGAGTTGATCAGTGAATTTGTTTTCAATGCTGTTTGTTCAAATCAGCTGTTAAAGGGACAGTTTGAATAGTAAAGAAATGGACAAATGTAAAAAAAAAAAAAGTTATTATCAGGACTCCAGGCTAACTTTTGATCGTAGTCACACTGCATCAGTTTGTCAGTCACATGTGACCAAAATGCTCCAACTCTGCTCTGTTCTTTGAAAGCTTGCGAATCCATTCCATCAACAAGGTTTATTGATTATTTATCTGATCTTGTGGACTGTTTTGTTCCATTCTTTCGACATCCTACTACAAGAGAGGCTCTCCTATTAATTATTATTATTATTGCTTCTTATGGTTCAGAGTCACCATCTTTAAATGTGAAAGCTCCACTGTTTTTATTCTTGTCTATCTGAGCTTGACTACTGAACAGAACATAAGAATGATTCTTTGTCCTGTCATTTGAAGCTAATAATGACAAAAAAGCAAATTGTAAAGCATTATGGGGTAGCTAGAACCAAAAACCTTGAGATGCTATGCAGGTACAGAAGATTTTTTTTTTTTTTTTTCCCGGACACGAGCTGTGCGTTAACCCGATCGGCTTCCTCTTTGTGTTTCAGATGCATCAGTGTCTCTCCTCCCCTGTTGACTCCAAGAAGGTAAAGGAAATGTTTCCAAACCTGAATGATGGACTCTCTTCTCAGACAGAGGCACAGAGCTCGTCAGACCTCAACAGAACAAACAGTAATCAGAACACCGCTGTGACTGCTGACAGCGCTGATGTCTCGGAAGGTGGAAAGGAGAAACTGCAGCAACGGGAAACTGAGAGCCAGGCGTCGGGGAGCAATAACACATCCGAGGATGCAAACATGATGGGACTCTGCCCCCCACTTAATCCTTTTATGGTGCCACTGAAACTGTTAATGAATAGATAGGTGGAGTTCACAATTAAATATAAAAGTGTGCAATTTTTTTTTTTATGGCGAACTTTAGTCACAACATGTCCGTTCATGTTCGATATTTGATGCTTAACTGTTTAACTGATTAAGAAGTAAAGACAAAATGCTACTTTTGTTACCGGTTGGAACCAAGCATTGAATGTCAGCTCAGATTTTTATTTAAGTTGTCAAAGTTGTTCAGCTGTTTTTGTTAAGATAACAATAAATTCTTATGCATTCAGAAGTTTGACTAATTGATTCCTTTCAATATTGATTGTTTTTTTAAAACTTTAAACCAACAGGACAGCACAATAAAAGACAGTCAGTCCAGCATTATCTTGCCTGTGTGCAGTGGGGATGTGACACCCATGTGATACGTTTGGTGGTTGATTGTATGAAATATATGCAGGACCTTGTACTGTATTACGCCATTCATCTGCTGGGAAAGACAGCATTATATTGGCTGGATTTTTTAATATNGCGGCAGCAACGACAACTTTCTGCTATTTCTGAATTTACAACGGACATTCAACATGTGGCTGGGAAGAACAACTTGGTTGCGGACTGTCTCTCTCGTGCCCTTGTTGCCACTGTTCATTTGGAGATAGACTATGCTGAGATGGCTGCGGACCAGCTGAAAGACTTGGAGGTGCAGGCACTGCGCACAGCCGAGACTAGTTTGCAGCTGAAGGATGTCCCTTTTCACGACTGTGGGGCGACCCTCCTGTGTGACATTTCTATGGACAAGCTACGCCCATTGGTCCCCGCTGCTTGGCGGCGCCACGTTTTTGATGCCATTCACTCCCTGTCTCACCCAGGGGTTAAAGCCTCAGTTAGGTTGGTGGGTTCCAACTTTGTGTGGCCTGGCCTCAGGAAGGAGGTTAAGGTTTGGGCCAGTACATGCATGGCGTGCCAGCGCGCTAAAGTGCAGCGTCACATTAAGGGTCCTTTAGACCCTTTTCAAATTCCTGAAAGGCGTTTTGAACATGTTCATGTAGATCTGGTCGGGCCTTTTCCCCCGTCACGAGGTTTCACTCACCTCCTCACTGTGGTGGACAGAACCACGCGGTGGCCCGAGGCAGTTCCCCTGTCCTCTACTACTTCGTCGGAGGTGGCTCGTGCCTTCATCTATTCTTGGGTGTCACACTTCGGTGTTCCTTTGGATATGACCTCGGATAGGGGTCCGCAGTTTACTTCTAAGCTGTGGAACGCTGTGGCTGGGAGCTTGGGAGTGACACTTCACAGGACCACAGCGTACCACCCGCAAGCTAACGGACTGTGCGAGCGGTTTCATCGCACTGTGAAGGCTGCCCTCCGTGTGTCAATGGTGGACAGTAGCTGGGTGGACAGGCTGCCCTGGGTTTTGTTGGGCCTACGCTCCGCCCACAAGGAGGACCTGAATTCCTCCCCTGCTGAGTTGGTCCTGGGTCAGACTCTGAGGGTCCCCGGAGAGTTTCTTCCTAGTGTTCCGGGTTTGGGCCCCAGAGTGGTTGGGAGGTCTAGCTTCCAGGGGAGGACTGAAGTTTTCTCACCCATTGCGGCACACCACTGCCTTCCTCAGTCGTACGTCCCTAAGGACCTTATGTCGGCCAAGTACGTTTTTATCCGACATGATGCGCACCACTCTTCCCTGCAGGCCCCTTATGATGGTCCTTTTCGTGTGCTGGAAGCGGGGCGTAAGTTTTTTCTGGTGGAGATGGGGACGGGGAAGGACCGTGTTTCTGTGGATCGTTTGAAGCCTGCTCATGTGCTCCAGGATGACAAAGTGGGGCTGGCACGCCCTGCCTGCCGGGGCCGCCCTCCGAATCCTATCTGTGATGTTGGGCCTTTATCCATTCCTGTCCCGCCGCCCAAGACTGTTAAGCACAGTCGTAGCGGTAGGGTGATTAAGTTGCCTGACCGATATACTTAAAGTTTTGTATTTCACACGGCTGCATATGTATAGTTTTTTTTTGAGTGTGTGTTTATGCTGTGTTTGACCATGTGGTTTTGGGCAAATGGATGCTTTTGTGTGTTCTGGGGGGGCCTGTGTGGTGTACACGAATTCTGTGGGTCTCACGCACAAAGGACACTGTTATTTTGAAGGGGACAGGGGTAAGGTTTTCCGGGTCGTGGGAAAGTGGATGTGCTATAAAAGGCTTTGCACTGTGGGTGATTTTTTGCTGTAAGTGGAGTCCAATAAAGGAACAGAGACTCAGGCTCAACTCTCGTCTCCCTTTTTATCGACTTCCACAGTGTCATAATAAAAGGAACATTTGTTCTGATGTGTAAATATCAGTATATGTTACTGGCTACGAGTAAATGAAGATGGCACACAGCGCAAATGAAAAAATGTTCAGGTTTGCCTAAAAAAATTAAATAAAATTAAAAAAAAAAAAAAAAAAAAAATCACTTTCAGGATAATCATCTTCTTGGAATGATGCAGCTGCAGCTCTAAACCTCTCCCAAATCATAGCACAATATGTGAACATTCTCTCTGCAAAGGTTGACTCTGATAAAGTGAAGCAGAACAAAATGAGAGAGTTTTTAGTCCAGACAGTTCAGGCAAGCTCACATTTTGGCACACTTGTGACCATCTGAATTTTCTTATGTACAAACTATATATTTCACTTGTATATTACTAATGGTGTTCAATACATCCAAATACAGCAGTTTTTTAGTTTGTTGAAAATTCGACCAGATCGCTATGTGTGTTAAGCGTCCTGTGCTGATCAGACTGCTGTGGAGCTCCAGTGGCGAGGCAAGGCTGTATCTCCGTAATGATTGGTCGATTTCAGTGATTGACACCGCCTTCGAATCGTTAAAGCCAATAGAATATAGCGATAGCCACCAAAATGAGATTGACAGCACTTTTAGCCAATCAGGATCAAGAGAACGCCATCTTGAAGACGAGTGCTGACAAGTGTTCACGCCGTGGCTCCCTTCGGCGAACGAAGCCTCCAAAAAACGGATACAAAAATGGTTTCAGTGCAACACAGGAAGTAGTACAACTGTTTCCGGTGTCGATTTACTGATAAAATAAACTTTTCACGGCAAAACAGCTAAGGTAAGAGAAATTGTACAACTATAGTTTGATGAAACGATTTCGGTTTTTGCTGTTCTTTGGGTTATTTCTCGCGGATGCTTTGATTTTAGAGAGCTTTGATGGACATGTTTGGAATCTGCTGACTGGCTGCTTTCGTTTGAGGGGTTGTTTGTGTGTTTTGCATAAAGTACCAAAGCGCTAGAGCCTAAAAATGTGGCCAGTGGGTTGACTGAGTGGCGCTCTGTCAATTTCCATATTTCATCATTCATTTAGTTGGTGTTTGAGTTGTGTTTGGGGCATGAAAAAATAGCTTATATATTCTTGTAGCCCAGGTTCTGCTGTTTAGTTTGATGTACAATATCACTATGTTCTTTCATGATGAGTGCATTGTTTCACTCTATTTCCTTGTGTGGCTTAAGGGGTAAGACCTAGGATACGCACTGCTTGCTCCCTTCTCTTATTCTTGCCTTGTTCTGGCCCTCATCCTGTCCTATTTGTATTTGAAGGTCTAGAATTGGTATAGCCTGGCTAATTTGTAAATATGTAAACAAGTCATTATGTGTAGTTATGGTTACAGTAGTAGAAGTTATAGTATTTCAGTTATATTATCCAATACATTGGGGTATTTGCCATATACCTAGAATATAAAAACAATGCTACAATCAACATTTTCTCGATGATTATGTTTACAACATTTTACCTGCTCAATGGTGGCCGCATTACTTGTTACCAAAGCACCGATACACTCGATGCTTTTCTATCCTTTTCTGTTGAATCCCTGGACCCCAAAGCATGTATCTTGGTTGAAAACATAATTTCTTTACTGCAGAAAACATTGACATAGAGTACATTTTAAGTTTATAGTCCTTAACGGCAGCCATCTTGAATGCCATCTTGAATATTTTAAATTTCCGGAGGGTGACAGGTCTATGCACCCTACATCCCATTGTATGCATGGATAAATAATCAGCAGAGAAAAAAAATGTATTGGGAATTTTTGGGTCGAGAAGAAATTGGCATTAACAGTAACATTAACATTTTCTTTAAAAAACATCTGGTAATGACATAGTATATGCCTGGTGCTATATACAGTTGAAACCAGAAGTTTACATACACTGTATAAAAAGACACATTATCTCACATTAAATCAGACTAAACTTTTCCTGTTTTAGGTCAGTTAGGATTGCAAAAATTATTTTATTTGCTAAATACCAGAATAATGAGAGAGAAATTTTTTTTTTAGATTTTTTTTTAGATTTTTTTTTAAAATTTAATTGATTTCTTGAAACTCAGATGTTTACATACAGTTCCTTACTATTTGGTGGCATTGCCTTTAAACTGTATGACTTGTTTCAAATATTTTGGGTATCCTTCCACAAGCTTCTCACAATAGTTTGATGAATTCTGGCCCATTCCTCCTGACAGAACTGGTGTAACTGAGTGAGGTTTGTTGGCCGCCTTGCTCCACACACCTTTTCAGCTCTGCCCACAAATTTTCTATGGGATTGAGATCTGGGCTTTGTGATGGCCACTCCAAAACATTGACTTTGTTGTCCTCAAGCCTCTTTATAACTAATCAGGTGGTATGCTTAGGGTCATTGTCCATTTGGAAGACTCATTTGCGCCCAAGCTGTAACTTCCTAGCTGATATCTTCAATACTTCGACACAATGTTCTTTCCTCATGATGCCATCTANCGTGAGCGGGATTCGAACTCACGACCGCTGCATCGGGGAACTACAGCCCCTGTTCATGGGCCGCCCGCTCTACCAGGTGAGCTATAGGGGGGACCCTTGGCTGGATTTATATATTTATAGGGTTTCAAAACATTTCAATGAGTTACATTTTTGACAACGTGGAACAGCAATTTTTTTTTTAATACTTTGGTTTAATATAATATGATTTAATGTTCTTGATTAATCATCTGCATTACAAATTGTTCAAAGATAGGAAAAATTTCCATCACATGTTGCATCATGTGTTTTGTTTGGTTTTTTTTACATTCATCCAACTTACATATTTTAAAAGCATTGTTTCACTCACACTAGCTAATGTTTAAGTGCCCCTGCAAGACCAAAACCTTATACAGTAGTAAAAAGTTGCATGTAGGCTTTCGCCACAGTCACTGTAAAGTAGTGTCGTGAGAAAATTCTAATGATCAAGGATGTTCTGACCTGCTTCTGTTTGCTTCGGTGGCTGCGGTGAAGCTTTAAGATTTGACAGTGTTCTGTGTTACCCTACAATGGCTTCACCAAGATTGGTATTATTTTTCAAAGTGCTTGGTGTGCCGGGGTTTTTGTACCTAATCTTGTGTTTCTTTGTCTAGCCTCTGACCCCTGACCATAACGGGTTAACGATGTTGGTAGCAGCATTGTGTTGCTTCAAAATCTGTAACAATTACGTTTTTTTACAGGAGCAAAAGATTTAAAAGACTGTCATGGATCAAAGTTAATCAGATAGGCTAGCAGCTTTTTCCCACAGGCCATCTCCTTCATGAACACCAAACCAGTCAACCACAAACAGACTTTTCAGATATCAGATTCCTGTGCAATCAATGCTTTAATCTACATGCAACTCCTAAACACCCATGTGCTATCCTGTAATTTATTTTATCTTATTTTCTAAATATAGTACCACAGTTTTTTTTTGTTTTTGTTTTGTTTTTTTGTAGTAAATTCTATTTTATGGCTGAAGCTATTTTTATGTCCATATATAGTACTTCTTAGGACTTTAGATTTTATAGTCATTACTGACTAACTCTGTTGCTGTGTTGTTTAACTAACCCATCGCGAGTACTGTGAGTTTAAGTAACCAGTGCAAATTCCTTGTGTGTGCAAGCTCACTTGGCAAAAAAACTTTTTTTATTTTATATAATATTGACTGAGTTGCCTCACTTGAGGCGTTGACTTTTACAATCCCCCCGTTTTCCATGTGACGATAAGAAACACTGCTAAGACACTCCCTTTGCTCTGACAGTAACAAGAAAAGACTGTGATAACCTGCCAAGTTGGCAGGTGATTGCAAAAAACACAGCCTACGTGACCTGTGACATCTTGCAGCCAAGATATGTATCAGAAACAAATCTGGGAAACAGAAACCTACAGATGTCATACTGCCCTATCATTCTTCAGATTTGTGCTCTGACGGTATTTTTTCATTATTTCCTCAGCCATCTTTTTTAAGGTTGAAAAAGGAACAACTTCAGTATTTCCATTTTCATAGCATTCTGTCACATTACACAAGTTAATGACCCACATGGTGTGCTGGTTAGGTTTAGTGACTCACATGTGACTTCAACAACTGCCTTAGATTCTCACACCAGGCAGTTAGAACTGAAAAAATCTTCAAGAAACTCAAGAAAGTCCAACTGCCTTTCTTTTAGCACTAAGACATACCATGACATAAATAACATGGAGAATCTTTGGACATTATTATTTTTATCAATTAAAAGCAGTTTGAATTGATAAAAATTGTAGCGCCAGATCATAGCATATATCATGTCAGGCCACTTTATATGATGTGGTCAAGACCTGAAAGTATGATAGTGAGAAGCCTAACGATACCCCCATGAAAACAATCCCTATAACAAGAAAATTCCTTAGACAGAACCAGAGTCAAGGTAGAAAAACATCTGCTTTAACCAATATGGGCGAGGGCACAGCAGAGAAAGAAAAGACAAGCAAGAACAACGAGCAGGTTGGTGAGGCCAGTTACTGCAGAGCCCTTGATATACCTGCCGAAAAGTTGATTATTTTTAACCTTTAAATTTTACACAGTTGGGCAGTTTAACCCATAATAATATTAACTTATCAAACTATCATGAAATCTCAGACAATTGAAGCCTTATGTTGGA